TACTCTTCCCTAGCTTCTGTCTGTCAATCAAAAGAAAGGGTTTTTTTATACTGCTGTCCCCTTCCCTATTGTACATTACTACGCTACCAGTAATCCCCAGCATCCATCTGGGAACTATTGTTACCTACCAGCTCTGTGTTCTTGGGGAACCAGGACATAGTACTCATAGAAAAATCCACTCTCTCTCCTCTCTATCCCTCAGACCTCTGCTTGAACCAGAACAAGAGCAATGAAAAGACAGAAGATGACACACCTAAACCCTTCTGGACAAGAGTGATACCATCAAGGAAATTTCCCTACCCTCATCTGCATTGAAGATAAGACAAACAGACATCTACATTAACATACAGAATGGAGAACAGCACTTCCAAAGCAAAAACTACATTGAACTGTGGGATACAGAAAGCAGGAAAACACTGCCTGGTGGGAAATTTCTGCTTCAGATACCAGTAAACCTATGCCTGCACACACCTAGGTCAATAATTATCAAATCAATTTGAGTAATAAATGCTCTATTGGTAACCAAAATACTGAAACTGCCCAATTGCATTATGAGCATCCCCATAGCCAGGAACAATCAGTTCCTATTGTTTAGCAGCCTAAACTGAACAACTCTGGAATACATTGTTGAACCATCTGTTTACTCATAAACAAATCTAGTGTCCCCCTGTATTGGATCCACTCTCTGGTAAGAACCCTGCTGCGGCCAGGTGGAGCTGGGCAGGATCCTTGCTGGGTTGTCAGGTTGCCTGCTGCGGCCAGGTGGAGCTGGGCAGGATACTTGCTGGGTTGTCAGGTTGCCTTCAGTCTTGGAACCAGGGCCCGACTAACCCTGTGCAGCGTGCTAGTAAATCTTTGCTTGTGGCTGGTCTTTGGCCACTGGGTCTGAGTTTTATCCAGATCTAACCTCAGCTCACACTGGGAACTAACCATAGTGCTGATTTCCCCAGTCAGGGTATAGATCCTACTGGGTCGAGCTCCTGAAGGGAACTGGCAGGCCCCATCCTGCAGCTTCTTTTATACCCCTCTGCTAGGTCCTGATTGGCTGCTGCAGAGACAGCCATTCTACAGTGTCTGGAGCATCTCTTCTCCGCTCCTCCTGCTGGGATGGGGGGATGGCAAGCCTGCTAGCCTCCTGTAGGGGGCAATGGGGCCTAGTGCAGCCTATCACACCACCCTTGAACCATTGTTTTGTAGGGAACAATTCGTTCCCTACAAAAACCCCTGTCCGTGCTCAAGTAAAGTGTTCTGATACCTGGATTTAAATTATGTATCAGTTCCACTAGGACATCATCTTCTCCTCACCTCTGCTCTGCTGTCTCCAGCACACTGGGCTCCTACGACCATCACCCTCTGGGAACCCCAATCAGTCCATGGTTCATGGAGTGGTGAGATCTCTCTCCCTCTCTTTCTCAGTATAGCTTCCTGACTCTGCCTTATGTGATCAGTTATGGTTTGCGAGCCCTAACATTTGTAATCGGACTTAAGTTAGATTTTAATATTGTAACTTTTTTGTTTGTTTGCCCTTGTATGGTTACTACTTAGAAATAAATGACTTTCATTATTAAACTGGTTGCTTTTTTTATTTTCCCTTCTTTCTCCTCCTGGGGGATGGGGGAGAAGTGTTGTTTTGGCTTCCTCATTCACTATGCAACCTAGCTCCTTGAACCCAAGCTAAAGGTCCCCATATTGCTCCAAAATCCTGAGGTGGGGTGGGGTGAGAAGTTGCTCATCCAGCAGATTACTAGCTGAATGGTTGTGGAGTGAAAGTGGGGACAGGTGCTGAACCTGATGGTGGCAGTTTAAAGTGCTGTTTAACCCAGCCCACTGAATCCAAGGGCACGTGTGGATCATAGCTTGGCATTGCTGTGCATCTCAGGCTACTGAATCCAGGGACATATAAACTGTCAGCTTATGAGTGCTGATTAATTGGTCCTCTCAGATGTGCTCTGGAAATGGGTGTGTGTGTCTGTGTGTTCATTTGATTCTAGAGTTGGAGGAACACAGTTCTGGGGAACCTAGATACTACAGGAGAGTTCCATTGGGAGGGAATTGGCAGAAGGGAGAAGTAAATTTCCATATGTACTACAGGAGAGTTCCATTGGGAGGGAATTGGCAGAAGGGAGAAGTAAAGATCCATATAAGAACACAAGTAGCACAAGCACCACATTCATAGAATTATCTACCACCCCCCACCCCTCGAAGAATAACCCTAATAAATTAGCATACCCGAAAGCAATGGGCAAATCTGGTAACACTATACCTTCCAGAATTCCTCTGTTCACAAGATCTTGTAGAGCCAGCACAGCTGTTTACAATCTTATATAGCAAAATTATTCAATTTGCCCTTCAATGTGTGTGCATGGGCTTATCTGTATAAAATTAAGGTCTGTTAGGTGGAGATAAGATGAATTTTGGATACAAAATATGGAATTGGATGTAATTTAATCTTGGGTTTTGATCATGTAAAGGAATTGAGTAGTATTCTTTAACTAGCTTATGAGGCCTGTAGTGGCCTTCACTCTTTCTGTGTTTCATAAACTACCAGAACCCTACTGCATCAGATGTACATTTATGTAATTAGGCCTTACAATGTTTATAATTGATAAGCATGGTTATTTGGATACCACTGTGCCCAATGTGCTGGGTGTATAAAGAGCAGAATATGTAACACTATGTGTCTGTGAATTTTTTTTAGCTCATCTAGATGTAGAACTCTTCCAGTTCTCGTATTCTATGAGATAATCCAAATTTATTTGAAATTAGGATATCCCCACCTTTTGACAGGTAGACTTCAGATAATCAAAAAATAGGTAAAATGTTCTGAATATTGTGTCTGAACCAAAATTGTGTCTCTCCCCAAATCCACCAATACAATTCTATACACAGCAAGTTAATCATAGCAATATGGTAGGTAGATGTCAGAGGTCAGCCTTATATCTGTTTGTGAAATATTAATGATGAATATCCTAGTTTTCAAATGTGTATATATGTTTAACTAACTGATATATAGCTAACTAGATAATGCTTAGTCCTGCCATAAGTGCAGGGGACTGAACTAGATGACCTATCAAGGTCCCTTTCAGTCCTACAATTCTATGTTTACAGTCTTCAAACTGTTAACAAAGTTTTCTCTTGGAAATAAATATTCGGTTGTACTGTGTCACGCAGACAAATGAGAGATTGACATGCTTGAGAAAAACACTCCATTGTTCTGCTGATTCTAAAGTAAATGACAAAAAATTGTAGACTAATTTGCATAACTGGGAGATTAGAAGAGTATTCCATTATCCTTATTAATATATTTCCCCTTCTTAATTATAAAGATTTGAATCTTTTTGAAACAACTTCATATAAAATGTTCTTGGGGATATAAGCTGCATGTAAAGTTCCAGTTCTAGATAGGTTATTTGCATAACCTTACAAAAGGGATAAATTACCTCCTGTTGAACAATAGCTTGTTTTAAAAGGGGATTTGGGATGTCGAGCAAAAAATTGACACAGAGAAAGGCATACTTTTTCTTATATTTAAATATAGACACTTCACTGGAAGTAATTTTTTAATGTGTTACATACTCCTGTACAAAAAGTGATCTTTCCTTTCAGATAAGCTAACATGCATTTAAAAATTCGATATAGAATTTCAGAGAAAAAAGTGTATGTAAAGATGCTGCTCTTTTGTTAACGAGAGATGTATTTAAAATAAAAAGTTCTCTGCCCCAAGAAGATTTCTTGGGAGCTTCAAAAAGTGGTAATGTAAAAATCATTAATTTTTGTGGCTCAAAAAGCAATAGGAAAGAACTTTCTCACAATAGGATTTCAAGGAAAAGGGGGCATGCAGTGAGATGCTATTCTTATTATTTACATGATCAGAAAGAAGTGCAATTGTCTTCTTTACACAGAAGGTTGCAGAGCCTTTAGCACCCATAGCAAAATTCAAAGAAATAGCATCATTTACTTACATCTCTGAAAAAATAAACTCTGGCTGCCCTAGGAGGCATCACACCGTGGAAACTCATGACATTAGTAATTGTGCTAACATTGTAACATCTAATGAAAACAATTGCCCAGAAACGGAGGAGGAATGACTCCTTCCTCACCTCCACACTGGCCCAAGGAAGCCAGCTGAAGCAGTGAAGACACTTTGTTCCCTCCTCATGAAATGAAACAGATTGTACATGAAGAAACAGTAGGACAGATGGATCTCCAGAAGGTACAATCTGTCCTGTTATAATTCTGTGGGGGAGGGGCGGGGCACACATATAGCCCTGTGCAAATTGCACACACTAGTCCCTAACTAACCAACTCTTTTACAAACCCTTGGACTTTACTGGAACTTAAGAGATCCAATAGGGTATGTCTACACTGCCACCCTAGTTTAAACTAGGGTTGCTAATGTAGTCATTTGAACTTGCAAATGAAGCCTGGGATTTAAATATGAGGAGTATTTAAATGAGGAGTAACAGTAGTTAAAATTAGGAGCTTTAATTCGAACTACCTAGCCCATGCCACATGTAGCCGCAGGCAGGTAGTTCGAACTACAGGGCATTTAAAAATGGCGGCGCCCGGGAACATATTTAAATCACGAGCTTCATTTGCAAGTTCAAATGACTACATTAGCCACCCTAGTTCAAACTAGGGTGGCTAGTGTAGGCATACCCATACTGAGTACAAACCTTTATATGTAGAAGGTTATTAGAAGAAAAAAAACTCCAAGTTGATTCCCTTAAATTCCAGTGTAGTGTATCTTAGAAGAGAAAATTTGCCATGCATTTCCAGTCTGGAGTGTTACACCCTTAGCATCCAAGCAGCCCCTTTATAAAAAAATTACAATATTAAACAAACCCAGATGCTCAACTGCAGGTCAGAAGTTACAGCAACATAAACAATTAAATGTATCACGTTTAGCAAAAGTCAACTACACATAACATTTGCAAGTATTGGTTTTCTTATCCAGAGTCTTAAAGGTGCAGTAGAACTGTTGAAAGTGTCTTTCAAGTAGGCTTGGCTACTTTTAAAAGGCAGAGAAAGTTGGTGAACATCTAATTGAGATCTGTTATCAACACAGTCCTAACATTGCTTCCCCCCCTCCCTTATTTAGTTAGCTGGCAGCTCCATTTCTTCAGCAACATCTCTCTGGTTTTTATTCTGATAGGGCAGGCTTTGGCATCCTCTGGTGACAGAAACTCTTTGGCTTGAATTGCAAACATTTTACATCTGAAGAAGTGGGTTGTGCCCAGAAAAGCTCATGATAACACTTTACACGTTTTGTTAGTTTTTAAGGTGCTGCTAGACTATTCGTTGTTTTTTAAGTTTTTCCCATTATAGACTAACTTGGCTACCCCCTGAAGTTTTTAAACATTTTACAGTAAGACCTTTATGTGGGTGTCATCTACATGTAACTCCCTTCCCCCCACCCAACCCCCGGGATACTCGAGCAGGACACTCACAGGTGTGCCTGGGCACCTGATGTTTTTAACATAGCAGGGGATCCTGAGTACCCCAGTGGTGATGTTGTTTAGTTGGGGGTTCCCTATCCACCCTCTTGCTGCAGTCCCTTGCTCCTAAAGAATACACAATGGTAGTGCCTCCACCTGGCTAGCCCTGTACACTCTTAGGCTACATTTACACTACAAAGAAAAGTCAGAAAAAGATACGCAAATTGCAAACCACAATTTACGTAGCTTTTCCTGCTTTTCTGTTGTAAGCGGCTTTTCTGAAATTTGGCACATCTACACAGCTCCAAATTTCGAAATAGCGGTTTGGCTGTGTAGACGCTGGTAAAGTTATTTCGAAATAACTTCACTGGGTAGACATACCCAAGCTGAGGAAGCTCACTGGGGCAGGTGCTCAATTTGTTTTGGCCAGTGAGTGTTTTTTTGTGTGTTTGTTCATTTGTGGGGGGAGCACTGCTAGTTTTATAGGGGAGACTATTTTTAGCATATTTATGTGCTGCTTTCCAGAGCCGTCCCATCCATAAGACAATTTGGGGTGGCTGCCCCAAGTCCTGTGTTTTTGGGTGCCTTTCAGTGGTCGCCCCAAATGTCCAATGGATGGGACACAGGGGATGGAGCCAAGGATTTGGCACAGCAGCAGTAGGGGTTTCCTCTCCCCCCCCCCCCCCGACTCATCATGGTGGCTGGGTCCAGTGCTCTGCTCCGCTCCGCTCCACACCACCACCCTCTCTCAGCCTCCTGCACTTAGTTTCTCACATGATGGCAGAAAGCAGAATGCCCCAGCCTGAGGGCACTCTGCTTGCCACTGCCATGGAGAACTGGAGCACAGCAAGCCAGGAGGGCAGAGCAGCAGGGTGGACCAGAACAGGCTACATGGCCACTCTCATCCCATTGTCATGGTGTGTGTGTGTGGGGCGGGGGGTGATTCCTGCTACTGCTATGCTGGGCTCTTAGAAATCTCCCAGATAAAAGTATGCGGGGGGGGGGGGGGGGGGGGGGGGGGGGGGGG